CCCCAAAACCCCAAAACCCCAAAACCCCGGATGAGTATGAAGCAAGTCATGTAAAATGATTAAAATACTAAGAATTATTTTGAATTGAATTATAATCTGTGTTAATCAAATAAAATGAATGAAGAACTGAATCAGTAACAATTCGCTTATAACTAATAGAATAGCAAGAGTACTACTTAGCATATGTCCCATCATTCCAAAGTCACATCTATAATTAGGAGGAGAACTAAAGATCTTGATGAGGAAGATGAATTAATTAATTCTTAGTCATCTCAAACCAATATAGGTCGATTGGAAGGATTAATAAATACTCAGCTAAACCAATAAAATTAATAATTTATCACTGCAGCCGATCAAACGAAACAAACTGATAAAAATACTACAATAGATATGAATTTTCTACATGATATCAACAATGAATGTAGTTATCTGATTACTAAGTTTCAGCAAGAATAGTATGTCAGCACTCGAGGAGCTAATGATCAAAGAAGAAAGAGTGGTGATTTAAGAAATAGTAGGATTATTGAAGGAACTGGTTCTTACACTAATCAGAGTAAAATACTAAGTTAAGATAAATCGAATAAAACAGTTGGCCCAATTCAGACTTCGAGCAACCAAAACATCCAACCACTGACAGTAAAAAATGGACAGAGAGGGAATCATCAATAATACACAAGTAAAGAGGATAATTTTTCCTCTAATATGAACACCATTAATTAAAAATATGCTTCAGCTGCAATCAGCGATAGCAATGAGAGTGAAAGAATAAGATCAGGAGATTATGGCATTACAACATACGAGCAACAATCAATGGTATAAAACAAGCAGAATATTCACATAGAAAGTTCAAAATATTTTGAAGATAGAGAAAACAGCATAATTGCTAATGTTTAAGAAAAGAGATTCTATGAGGAAGGGTCAATCAAATACGTTTCATCTTATCATCCTGAAAATCATTCTAAGTTTTCTATTTCTGATAGAAACTCTTAAATTGCTGATATGAAGGGCCATTCTAGCTTTTAGCCTCCTAATTTCGATAGCAATAAAGATTTATCAAAAGTCATCCACACAAGTAATAACAAATTGACCTTTAGAAATGATGACTTTAGAAATGATGACAGCTCCAATAATAAAGCTGCATCAAGTAATGAAAAATAAGCTTATTTCATCCCAAATGATGAAGAAGAGCAGAGCGTAGACCCTGACGAGCCTCCTGTTAATCAATATCAAATAAGCAACAATATGCATGAACCTCAAGCTTAATTTGATCTTTAAAACTTCTAGGCTTTCGATGGTAAGTTAGATGATAAGAGTGTCAGTAGTTCTTAATAATATGAAATCCAAATAAATAGTCAAGCTCAAACTATTCAAAGTTATTAAAATGCTACTGCTCATCAGAGAGCTGATACATTATCTAAAATAGGAAAAACCCTTATTTATTCAGACGAAGAAGAGAAATAAAATTAAATTGTCCTAAGTTAAAAAGAATAAAGATACCAGAATGTTTCTAGCAAATAAATAATAGATAATAAAGGTGGCTATACAATACCATAGGATGAGGATAACAATGATGAATATGAGTAGGACTATGAAGATGATGATGTTTAGTAACAGAGGGAAGAAAATGCTAAAGGGTAACTGCTCTTTACAAATAATCAGCACATTTTCAATCATGTAGATTCGGAACCATAGTTACCAAATGTTGCTAAGAAATTTATGGGAAGCGATTATGAGGATGAGCCACCTAAATTTCCCACTTAACTTGATGATAATGTGATATACAATAGACTACCTAAAAATTTCTTTGTTTAAGAGGAAGAAGATGCCAAAGATATGAATCAAGTACTCTCTAGCATTTAACAAATGAGAGAGGATTTCATGGGTTATATCAGTGAAAACAATATTCAAAAGAAATTAGACGAAATTTCAAACATAATTGAGCCCGAGAAATTTATTTAAAAACATTTTGGAGAAGAGGATCCATCAGAAATGCTGTTTGATAAAGTTATCTCAACCAGAAAGGGAAGCAATAAGATGGATGATGATAAATCTTCGTAAAGACTTGATGATAAGTCAAGCAACCTCAAAGCTACCATTCTAGAGGAAGATTTAGAATCTAGTCCAGACAGAATATCGAAAGATAAGACACCAATAAGCACTAAGAGAGAATTTATATTAGCCTCAGAGAAGCAAAAAATAAGATCTCAAAGGGTAAGTCATTTTCATCAATTAATCGTTATTTTCACATAGGAAAGTGCTAGACAAGTTAAAATAAAAGGTGCTAAGCATATTGTAAAGCCACCTGATTCATCAGTTTACACAGTAGGAGCAAACTATCCAATAGCCGGTCCTAGATAGATAAAAATGGCTGACTATTTTAGAGAAAACTAGATCAAGCCTTAACTTGATATTGACGTCTTAAATGCTACTCAGATGTTAGATAAAACATAAATAATGGATGATGAAGAGGAAGATCAGATCTATTTGAATGATGATGAGAAATAGAAGCTAAAAGAGAGAATGGAATAAGATATTTTGGCTAACATTGATATTAACTTCTTATTCAATAAAGGGGAGTAGCTTAGATTTGGTTTGATAGATTAAAAGAAAGCTTATAAGTTAATGCTCAAAATAAAAGAAGTTGCTAGCTAATAATTTGAAAGAGGAAGGAAAGAAATAGATTATAATGAGATCGTCAAGTATTTGAAAGATTAAGAACTTTATGAGGATGATAACTTAAAATTGGATGGGGATTTGAAAGTTCATCCAAATAGCGAGCCAATTCAAACAAAAGTTGTTGAAAAGGAAGTATTCACTTATGATCATTGGAGATAAGTTTTAGATTTCATGAGGAAAAATCCTAAATTACTAATGCAAATGCTACCTGACACATAAGATGATGATTACTATTATATGGAGCCTGCCTAGAAAAATAAAAATAAACTTCATCAATAGATTGAAGAAGCGAAGAGATTTTCTAGACTTTAAGCACTTAGTAAAAATTTTATGCAAAAGTGAGATTTGCTAGATGCAATCGATCATTAGCAGAATTAAAAGTTCCCATCTCCTCCTAAGAATAATGCAGCAAAGGAAAGAAAGTTAAATAATTACAATAAGACTGGCACAAATAAGACTATTGATAAAAAGAAGAATACAGATGGAAATAAAGAACTAAAATCTCCATTAAATGCCAGATCTACTGAGCAACTAGCAAGTGGCAGTGATTCTGAAAATGGTCAAGCAAAGTAAAAAAATAAGAGTTTTCAAAAGTAATTTTAATATAACTCAGCATCAGTTGCCAAAAATATATATTCTAATGCTCCTTTTAATCACCCTGATCTCTAGAGTTAGCCTCTATCTAAGTTAGAAAACTATAATTAAGTCAATTCAGGTAGACCAGTTCAATCTCAATAATAGACAAGGGGGAAAAGTTTGAATAAAATACTTAATAAGAAAGGATCAGTAATGTCAACTATGGGGGATCATACTACAATCGGTACAACTACAGGGAATATCACAAATCTAAATAATTATAAGCAGTAAAATGTCCTAAGTAGTTAGCACCAGACAATAGAAGAAGGTACTGGAGGATATTCTAAGAATAATACAGGAGTTGGAGTATTTAGCATGCTTAACAATTACAATACTTAAGATGGAAACATTGGCAAAGATTAAAATTCCTAGAGAAGACCAATTACAGCTTCTGCAGCTTAGGAAGGTAGCACTCGAAGCTTAGCCTACATGAAGCCAATATTACAGTAGAGATAAGAATCTTTCGATGTGCATTCAAATAATTAAGCTAAAAATAGTAGAGGTGGTGGAAGCATAAGTAAAAATAGTTATCCAAGAAGAAAATACGGTGGAGATAATGCAAGTGATGCTGGCAATAATTCAGCAATATAAAATTATGCCAGTATGGGAGGAGTACTTGATAATTCCTACAACAATATCAATACAAATTTAAATAGCAGTTTTGCAGGAAATGTTATTGGAAAGACATTTGCTCCAATAAATTTAGGTCCTTCGAAGAAAACTTAGAAATTCATTCATAAAATTGCTCCTAATCTTAAGGAAAACGAACTTTACAATAAGATGATTAATGAAGCAAGATTGAATAGCAAAGATCCTGGAATGAGATACTCAAGTAATGATGGGGTTAGGAACTAAATAAAGCTAGGTTAGTTTCACAAGGTTGGGAATGTTGACTCGAGGAGAAATGCAGCACTAAACTAATCTGGTAGTAATTTTAAAATGAATGAATATGAACAAACACCGCAAGGAGCTTTTCCAAAGTTCATCAAAGGATAAAATACATAGAGTAGTGCTAGGTAAGAGCCTAATTAAAGTAGTAACTAGAGTATATAATCTAAATACAATAAATTTGTCACTACTAAGTAATATGCAGATCAGAATATGCAAACAAGAATAATTGGAGTGAATAATAAATTGATTATTAGTCCTCAAAATGCTTCTACTGATCCATTTTACCACGATGGAATTAGTCAAATTTCAAGATAAGATTCCTAAGTATCAGAAAAATTCAATAAAAAGTACGTTAAAATTCCAGTTATAGATTGGGCATATACATAGTTGTTTACAAAAGCTGTAAGCTAAGATATTGAATTCAATAAGGAAGGTGATATCAATATCTACATTGAAAAAGAAGTAGATTATTGTATCGATATGATGAAAAATAAATACAAGGATTTTAAGAGAAGTGACATTATCAGGCCTTTCTATTTGAAAGCATTGTAGACTCTACAAATCCTTTTAAGTGAATAGTCTTTGGGCCAAATTTTCGAGAAGACTTGCAAAAAGTACAAAGAGATAACTATTGAAAACACGATGAAATTACTGATCAGATGTAAGCTGGCTTTCCATGCAAGAGGCATGATCTTAGATATTTTGAATGCAGTGATAAATTATGAAATGATAGCAGTTGAACTAAAAAAGATTATTGATCAGCACTAGAAATACAAAGTTTCAGTTCAGTAATATGATGAGATTCATCAAGGAGGAAAGAAAGTTTTTGACTAGGGCCACGAGCTTCTAGTCAGAATTAAAACATTAAAAAGTGTGCATAAGCAATTCAAAAATCCTTTTATTTTCAAAAAGAAGGATTATGTAAACTATGTGAAGAGTGAGATGAATGAAATTAGAAAGCTTATCTCAATATTTTAAATTCAAGGACTAAATGATGGTATTCCAGAGCCCGATATTATACTTAGAAAGATAGAAGAAAACAAAAATGAAACTGAGGAACAAAGCTATTAGACAACAGAGGAGAATGTTCAGAATAATTTGGGTTCAGGTCGCCACTGAAATATCAATAAACCTAATTAAAAAGATAAATCTAGAATTGAAGATCCTGACTATCTCATATATACTTCATGAATCTTTTTGAACTATTGCTTTTTATACTGAATCATATATAAATTTATTAAGAATAAACAATCAATCTTTAATTTAAATTTTAGAATTTATGGGGTTTTGGGGTTTTGGGGTTTTGGGG